TAACGGGAGTCACTCCCCACACGGACCCCGCAGCCCGGCTTGGCCCGCCCCCCTGCCCCGAGCCGAACCCCCCAACTGGCCAGCCCAGGGCCCCTGTCCAGACACCCCCCCCCAGGCCTCACCTGCCCCTCGCCCAAGAAATCGAGCTTCTCGTAGCGCTTCGCTCGCATCCTCGCGTCCATCACCAGCCGAGAAGAGGAACCGGACCGAGGGGATTTAAAACCGTCACTGCTTGAGCGCCGCTACTTCCGGCCCCCACGCGGAACCCCGCCCCGTTTCCGAGCTTCCGGCGCATGCGCCGTCCCAGCGGCTGCAATGGGGTGTTCTCGCGGCGCCAGCGTCCCGCTCTAGCAACAGTCACTAAGTAGCCCGCGTTTCTCGGCGGTCTTAGGTTCCGGCCCTCTCGGAGTCCGCCCCGGGTCAGACACCGGCCGCGAGCGGGGCAGGACGGGTCGCGCGGGGTCTTACTGAGCATGGCGGGGTGAGCAGGGCACTGGACCATTGCGGCCCGTTGAGCAGCTCCGGGCGGGGAGCTTGCCTGAAGCCAGCCGAGCACGCATACAGCCCGGCCTCACCAGGCTCGCCGCTAGGGACGGAGGCGGTTCCCATAACGAGAGGCAGGGACACCAGCTTTGGGAAAAGGGGCGCTCGAGCCTGAATTCAACTCTCCCCGCCCCCTCGGACACTCACCAACACCCTCCCCTCTACCAGGTTGCCACTGAGACACAGCTGCAGGCCTCCCCTTTAATTTGTAGAGGTGTGAGCTCCTTTAAAAGTGCACTTCAGCGATATGGGCTGGAGGTGATAGGCATGGATCACAGTTGACAAGTCACAACCTCTTGCTCAAGCCTCGGTGGAGCCAAACCATTCCTGAAGAGTACTGCTATAAGATTATTCAACAGCAGAGGAGGTTAGAGGAATAAAATATTCAAAGTGATTTTTTTTTGTTTTGCTTTATTGTCAGAACTTAGGAGTATGGTGGTCTAAAAGGCAGAATCCCATCACTTCATTATCTGGTTTTTTTAAAAAGCTCTCATCAAGCTCAGTATAACAGCACTTTATGATTAATATTCCAGCTCTCAAGTGGAATCATTTTCAGGAAAATTTGGACAGAGTATACTCCTTCGAGTTACTTTCATCCATGTTTCACATCCTGGCTACGACCTCCTACCAGTGCTAGTGGAATGTGCAATTGATTTAACAAGCCAGTTTATTAGAACTATACAATTAACTTTTGCAAGAAACTGCTCTTTTTATTGCATGCTCTGCATTTCAGCATGGTATTATCCCTTCTATGCAACCATTCAATTATACTGGAAGTAGCAGCCAACCTCCAGTTAGAACTGGTCATATTAACACATTAAATACACTTAAACATTATTTTAAAGCACTAATCCAGAAAAGCTCAGTGTGTGGATATACTTATTCTGGCATAAGTGTTGAGAAGGGGAAGCTGTTCAAATTTCCTCAGGTAGACAAGAATTGAATTAAACTCTTTTATTCATCCATGTGTAAGTAATGCACAGTAATCATATGAACAAATTAATCTTTGTTTAATATACTCTTCAGTATGTTTTGGCATCCCCATTTTGTACTTTGGGAAAAGAACGGTTTGTGTTCCAGAGCTCATGACTAGTAATCAGGAGATCTGGTTTCTATATTTTTTGTTCTGACAGAAAAACTGGGTTCTATGTTCCTTGTTCTGACAAACTTCCATGACCTTGAGCAAATCATTCATCCTTTGTGTGCTTCAACTCCCCTGTTCAGACAATTATTTCCAGATTTCCCCTTCCCCACCTTCCACGCAGAACCAAATCTTTACCTTGCTTTAAGTTATATGAGGAAGCTGCATACCAAATTTGGTGGTCCTAGCTCTTACCCTTTAGTTCTTGAACAAATAGAGGGACAGACTCACTCTCAAGCTTTCTCAAACATACAATAGATTCAATAGGACTGGTCCCACAAGACAGACCCAAGAAAATCAACAACAGAACACCACTTGTCATCACCTACAACCCCCAACTTAAACCTGTCCAACACATTATCAATAAACTACAGCCTATACTGGAACAGGATACCATACTCCAAGAGGCTCTGGGAGACAGACCCATAGTCTCCTATAGACAACCACATAACCTCAAGATGATTCTTACCAACAACCACAGGACATACCACACTAATACCAACCCTGGTACCTTCCCTTGCAACAAACCCCGTTGCCAGCTTTGTCCACATATTCATTCTGCTGATACCATTATTGGACCCAACCAAGTGAGTTATAAGATCAAGAACACATATTCCTGCACATCCAGAAATATAATCTACGCTATCATGTGCCGAAAGTGTCCGTCTGCTATGTACATTGGACAAACATCTCAGACACTTCGCCAAAGGATTAATGCCCACAAAACAGATATCAGACAAGATCACAAAGAGAAAACAGTTTCTTGCCACTTTAACCAGAAAGGACACTCTCTAAATGACTTAGCCACCTGCATTCTGCTACAAAGACCTTTTACATCTGCACTTGAAAGGGAATCCTCTGAACTGTCATTCATGTTAAAATTCGACACTTACCAACAAGGACTTAACAAGTCTTTGAACTTTCTCACCCATTACCAAGACAGTTTCCCCAATTATCACCTGTAATACCATTAACTCACAAACATCCCACTCTCCCTACCTTTAATATCAGCAATTCACAGACACTTACCTTCCTTCCTCCCCCTTCCCACCCCCCCGCATCCCCCTTCTGTTCTGCAATGTGATTTGTCCTTTTCATATTTGTTCATTTTTTTAAATTGTATCCTTTGGTATATATGGTTGTGACTACTTTCTTCCACTATTTGATCTGAGGAAGTGGGTCTGGCCCACGAAAGCTCATCATCTAATAAACCATCTTGTTAGTCTTTAAAGTGCTACATTGTCCTGAGTAAGATAGAGTTTTTTGTTTTGTTTTGCTAGCTAAACAGAGCTGATATAGTGTTGCCCATCCTTATCTGTAAATATGGCATATTAGAGCCCTGTAAATCGATGGATATCTGTGGGTATTCACAACCATAGATGCCAATATCAGTGGCTCATTTCTGCAGATATAGATGTGGATTCAAAGCTCTATGTATCCTGAAGTGGGTCTCGTTTGTCAGCAGCTACACTTCAAGACTTTAGAGTTTACATTTACTGTGACTCATACAGAATCTATCAAGCTGACAACTGAACCTGAAAACCACTCAGATATTATCTTGAAAAGACAGTAGGCAAGTTCTTTCCCCAACATGAGACTGTAACTTTGCAACTCTACCCCCTCAGACTGGTTTTGTATCTTCTAAGAAGGGTCTAAAGTCTATTTTAATAGACTGAAAGGTATAAAACAAAAACCTTATTTCTGTGCTAGTAAGCATCAAGGCATAGAAGGGACAGTCTCCACCTTACTGGGATAGTGGCATAGTTTAACCTGTTAAAATTGCTCAAGGTATAAGGAGTACTTAGCAGATGTGGCACTCAATTTTTTAATCTCTCTTTTACTTAAGGTTTATGATTATTTTTTGAGCAAACATGGAAAGTAGTAAAGGATACCTGTAATTCTCTTCTTGAGGCCAAACCCATCAGCCCCATAATGCATCTGACCTCGAAAGCTTAGGAAAGCTAGAATCAGCTCTGACTGGTAGTTTTCTCTAATAATGTGGAGGCAGGTGAGTTTAAAATCTGTTCCAAACGTAATTTAAATTAATAAAGCTAGTCCAAGAATAAGTTGATCCCCTCTATCTTAATGCTGTTCTCTACCCCAGGAAGTGCATACATTTTCAGAGCAAGCAGCCACCATTCTGGATGCCAGAATCAAAGCCCTTTTTTATATATATGTCTGGCAGTTGAAAACTAAAAATATTAAGTTTATAAAGTTCTTATAATAAAAAGTAGCAATGCTCATCTTATAAGCCAGAAAGATTTTGCATTAGATCTGGACCTATATGGATCAACAATTGCTACTAAAATAGATATTCTTGACAATTGTATTGCTTAAATTACATTTTAATAGTGAAGGTTTATAAAGTGGATTCACACAATTACCTTAATTAGTCTTTAATAAAAAAAGTTAGTCCAGAAACATAAATTAGAAGACAAGTGTCTAACGTGTCAACTTTCTCACCCCATTAAACCGGGTCTTTATTAAAGCTATTAACAAACTGTTTATAACATTCATAGAGTGAGGAAGGCCTTTAATGTGAACATAATAATTCATTCAATGGTGGTGTATAAGTGTCTTCTGTAATTATTCTGGACCTCCACGCTGTAAAAGAGAAGCAGACAATTATATGCCATCTACTAAAAGAAAGGGAAGATGACATGCTGGTTTGCACTTTGTTATTAAGTAGAAAAGTAGTTTTCAGTACAGGATTATTGCACATTTAAGAATTCTATCTTTAATTTATTACTTTTATGAACAGACACAAAATTTCTACTTAGCTTTTGTAAAAAACATGACAAAATCTGAGAAATGTTTATGTAATTTTGATATAGGTTAGTGTAAAAATAAACACTACAGTATTAGTTTCTTCTTCAGGGTTTTAGTCAATAAAGTAAGTTACTTTTGTCCACATTCAACAGTACAAAGCCCAGACAGTAAAAAGCAAGTTACATGTTTAAACATTCTTTGTTTTAATAATCTAATGTGTCCAGCAGATGCTTCCATTGTTTCCCTGCTACATTTTTACAACTTAATACCTCATTGCTGGGAAACCTTTAGGCTGAATGTCAGGAAGTTTCATACTTTCTTTAATTCCATTACTCCTAGTTATACCCTTCTCCCCGTACATAAAAAATCCTCTCTGTGACTAATGATCATATCCTTTGATTACCTGTGGACTCAATCACCATCTAACCAAACTATATTGATTTAGATTTAGTCTTGCTTCAAGCCCAATCCTATAGCATTCTAATATTTTTTGATATTCCTTTCCAGTCTTCCAATCTGTCACCATCTGGTGATGAAGTGCTCAAATTTTGTAATCAATTAAATGTTCTCTTTCTTATGCACTTGCATGAGACCTCAATATTAGTTTGAGTTGAAATGCTTCCTTATAATGTTTGCAATTTGTTTTCAGTGAAATAAATCATGAATATTTGTTTCTGAAATTTTTATACTTAAACACCCAGCCTATATTTTGTGCATAAACTGCCAGTTTAGCCTCTTGAGCTCATGAATCAACTGATAATTGAAAGGATGATTACTCTGTACATTATATTTCTATTAAAATAGTATATTTATTGCACATTTTATAGTTGTAAATACAATATGCAATGGCACTGAAACTACCTGATTTAATAGATTAAATTTAGACTAAAACTTCAAAACAAATTCTAATCCTGATTTTGTCACTGACTTTGTGTGACCTGTCATCTGTGTGTCAATATCCCACACTGTCAAGTCTTACCTTATCTACCCAACTTGTGTGTTGAAGAATATTTTGCATTTACAGCAAACTACGTTGTAAAGCTTGGTGTAAGTGCAAAGTTAGCAAGAGTTTAAAAGCAAGGATATTTATCATTTGTGCAGAAGTGGTTTTACAAAGTTTTCAAGATACAGAGTAACTACAGAAAATATATAGACAGGCAGTCCCCAGGTTACATGGATCCGACTTACATCGGATCCCTACTTACAAACGGGGTGAAGCAACCCCGCACTAGCTGCTTTGCCCCAGCAGACCAGGGAGACACGAAGCTAGTGCCCCCCCTCCAGCAGACCAGGGAGACGCGGAGCGGCTTTTCTCAGCAGACACCTCAGCTTGAGAATAAAGGACTGAGGGAAGTGAGGTGTGGGAGAATAAAACTGAGCTCTGGAGAAATGTTTGGCTAGAGTTTCCCCTACAATATGTACCAGTTCCGACTTACATACAAATTCAACTTAAGAACAAACCTACAGTCCCTATCTTGTACGTAACCTGGGGACTGCCTGTAGTAACAGATATAACAAACTTACTTGAATATATTCCATCTCCTCATTTGACATCAGCTTTCTCCTGTACTTTTGAGGTAATGTTCTTACTAATTCTATTGTGTCTGGTGTGCCTTGTACTCTACTAATGGATGAAATGTTTTGAAGGGCTGGTGATCTGTCCCCGATAGACATCTGTGCTGCTGAAGCATGGAGCGGTGGCACCCTTGATTGTAGAGATTCCTGCTCTGAAACCCAGATTTCAAAACCATGTATAGAAGTATAGAGAATATTTTACTACTTTAACAAGTCATATTTTGAGAGTAGGAGAAAGCACAGCTTGAAAGGGATAGGTATTGGTATTGCAACAGTAGCTGAACTCAGTAGACAGTTTTATAAATACTTATGCTGAAAAGCTGCACCTGCAGATTATGGACATATAGTGCCTCACATTGCCATAGGTCTCTGGGATTCTTTAAGGATTTGTCATTGTAAATTACTTGAGTAAAAATATAATACAATTTGTCCACAAAGGTACAGGTCTATGGGAGGAGGAAGGTTGCAACTGTGAAATATTACAAGATGCTGTTTGTGTTAGACTCATTTTTAATGTTTTTTTAAATTTTAATGAATTCATATACTACAGTTTGTAGGTAACATCCACAATGAAGACTATAGGGTGGCCATCATTTGCTGCATACTAAACAAAATGGGTGACACTTGTGTGGGGAGCACTGGGCTGGTGGGGGACTGATTGAGTCCCCCGCTGGCCCATTACTTCCTGTGGTGTTTAAAAGCAGTAGCACCGCGTGGAGCCGGGGTCTGGGGACTCCCCCACTGACCCAGGCTCTATATGTTGTTGCCGCTTTGAAATGTGGCATGGAGCCAGGGGCCAGCTGGAGAGTCCACAGCTGACCCTGAATTCCATGCAGCACTGCTGCTTTGAAACGCCACGTGGGGCTCCCTGTGGCATTTCAAAGTGGCAGCACTGTGTGGAGCCAGGCTCAGCGAGGGAGTCCTCCGCTGACCCCAGCTCCATGCAGCACTGCCATTCTGAAGCCTCTCCTCCTCCTCCCTGCCCCCTTGCTACCTCTTTCTGATAAAGGCAGCAAGGGAGGAGGAGGGGAGGAACGACTAGTCAACTAGTCTCTCATATCCCTACTCCAAAATAGGTCAATGCTCAGAAATAACTGAATCATAAGCCAAAAAGAAAAACTTTTAGTCTTTATGTGAACGTTAAATATTATATAGTATAAGATTTATTTACAAATGAAATACTTACTTTTAGGTTTTGGACAATTACTTCTGTCTGGGAACTTGATTAAGGGTGTATGTGGCTTGACTACCTAAAACAAGACACAGCAGTGGAAGGAAGCAGAGAAAGGGGGGGAAATATAAATTTGGAAAAATAAAATGTGAAATTTTCATGGCAAGAATGCTACATATTAAGAATTTATTTCTACATTTATGTTTTCATTGACACCAGATTTGGGAGATTTACAATAATTTAAATGTATTTTTATTTTTCATATTCAGTGTTGTATCAGACTGTAAAGCAAATGCATTGGTTTTAAAATTTCCATTCAATTATATCTTATAAAGGAGTAACTATAACTGCAGTATACATGGGATCGTGGGTCATTTGGCTCTCTTTCACCCAAGAAGAGCAATTTATAAGTTACAAATAAGCATCTCTGGGAAGGTGTCACTTTGAGGCTGGATAATCATCCCATGAGGGCTACTGCAAGATGTGCAATTTGCTGACATCCCTATCACAATAGGAATAATATTACAAGAGACGCAGGAAGTTGGACATTGGGACCAACAAACCAGATGACAGGTCAAAAAGGGGTAGGGAAGAAAGGGGTGTGGGTCTATGGAGACATTGGAGAGCCCCTGTGTGCTTGGTCCAAGAAGCAGGAAAGCCAATTCTACTACGCACAAAATGTGGTCAAAGGAAACAAGCCTGGAAAAACAGAAAAGAATTTTCTCGAATCTCGTTCACGTATCTTAACGGTTACTTGCAGTAACAGCAGGGGCATAGATATAGTATCAGACAGGGTGGGGCTTGACAGCCGGTGCCCCCGGACACGGAAGCTGAAGCCCACCAGCGCAGGCTGTTGCCCACGCAGCTAGACTGGCACGTAAGAACTGGACAGGCTCTTGGCGAAAGAGCAGCGAGGACGGATCCCCTGCCACGGGTCTCCGCCCTCTCGCCACCAGGTCCCAGCGGCCTCTGGCGGAAGCTCCCTCAGGATGATCAAACGCCGCCGGCATCTCCACGCACCGCCCCCGTGCGAGCCGCCGCTGGCTGTTGTGTGAACACCCAGCCACCGGCGCTTCCCACGGTGCGGTGCCCACAGCCAAGGTCGTCTCTGCAGCGCCGCGGGCCTTGCACCTTAACGCAGAGCCGGGCTGCGGGGCCAGGACAAGCCCCGCACGGGGAGGGGCAGCAGGCAAGAGGCTG